TCGTGATCCGCCCGCCTTGGCCTCCCAAAGTGCTGGGATTATAGGCGTGAGCCACTGCGCCTGGCCTAGATATGTATTTCTATATAACAGCCCTAACAATTATTTTCAAGACACTGAAGACAGTTTTTAAACGATTGCTTAGGTCAAATTGCATTCCATATCTAAGATGCTTATTTTCAAGTTTTCCTTCCCTTAGCAAATTCAGTTTGTTTTCCAAAGTCAACCTCTTTTGATAATTCCACACATTTAACTAACAACTTTACAACTTTTAAATTTTCAGGTAAAAAGCTTCACTGAATGATTCTCATTGTAGAAAACCTTTGAGAATATTATTCACATTAATGAATATTTCACAGTTAGAATAATGAAGGTTATTGCTTATGACAGGTCTTTCTCCATAGGACCCTTACTGGGGTGTATTTGACAGGTACATACAATAGAACCTCCTGTGTATCTTCTGGTTAAATAATTATAAACCAGAAAATCTACCAAAGAGGCTTTCTATACGTACACAAGAAACATTCTCAATAAGAGACCCCTACGTGGAGGATCATATGTTGACTATAATTATGCAAATAAAAATGCTACACGATAGGCCTAAATGAAACATTTTCTTAGATTCCTGAACATGTATTGACAATCATCCTGTTATTTTCTATATCAGAAAGATAAGTTCATTGATTTTACCACTGCCTCATTTTTTTTTTTTTTTTGGTAAGAATTAACAATATTTTTGTTTCACTACAGAGAGGCTCTAACACAGCTGTGTAAACACTACCAACAATAAATATTTATTGTCTATTATGTACCTGTTCATTTCTAAGAGTAAAGGACAAAAGGAAAAGGCTCTCCTTTGTCCTCCCTCTCTTCCTAACAAAAAGACAAGACCTCTGCCCCACAGAAGACTGGGAGCTAGGAAAAGCAGCATTCTTACAATAGATTACAATCAGAAGATAGATTTTATGTCAGGTCATCTAGTTGCATAGATATTTCCCTGTTGTTATTCCTGAGTCCTTAGTAAAAACCTTAATTAAATGTTCCAGCCTTGTCTTGGCTATGCTACAGGTGACAAAGCACAGGTTTATGTAATGATTGGTTCAGTGATAAAAGGGAGCAGACTCTTTCCAAGAGCAAACTGGGTGACAAGGATACTTAGTGGTCTAGCAAACTGGTTTCAGTGGAGCCTTCCACTGTCCATGGTAAAACCATGCAGGTTTTATTTTCTTAGGGTAGATGCTTAGCACAGGATTTCCTGAAGAATGGTACTTCTACCACATACTTAAGAATCACTTGAGATTAAAAACGCAGGGATCTGAGACCCATCCCAGATACCATGTATCAGAATCTTTTTGGTAGGTGGCAGAAATAGGCATTTTTGAAAAACTGACCAAATGATTCTTAAACTAAGGCTCGAGAATCATTGTGAACCATCACTCTATATAGATTGGCTCTCAAAGTGTGCCTGAGGGATCCCTAGAGGTTCCCGAGACCAATTCAGGGAGCTGTGAAGTCAAAACGTTTTTCATAATCATACTAAGGTGTTATTTGCTTCTTTTTAATTCTCTCACAAGTGTACAGTGGTGTTTTCCAGAGTCTACATGATATGTGACTGCATAACAGATTGAATCTAGAAGATACGAGAACTCATCTATCTTCTTTAAGACAGAAAGTAACTCACAAAAAAAGCCCACTGCTTTCTTCACTAATACATACTATGTTTTATAAGTTATTATGGGCTGGGCACAATGGCTCACGCCTGTAATCCCAGCACTTTGGGAGGCTGAGGCTGGCAGATAACCTGAGATCAGAAGTTCACGACCAGCCTGGCCAACATGGCGAAACCCCGCCTCTACCAAAAATAAAAAAAATTAGTCATGGTGGCAGGTGCCTATAATCCCAGCTACTTGGGAAGCTATGGCAGAAGAATCGCTTGAAACTGGGAGGCAGACGTTGCAGTGAGCCAAGATGGTGCCACTGCACTCCAGCCTAGCCGAAAGAGCAAAACTCTGTCTCAAAAAAAAGTTTGTATGTATGTATGTATTTATTGTTTTTGAGCTAGAGTTTCTCTTTTGTTGCCCAAGCTGGAGTGCAGTGGTGCAATCTCGGCTCACTGTGACCTCCGCCTTCCAGGTTCAAGCGATTCTCCTGCCTCAGCCTCCTGAGTAGCTAGGATTACAGGCATGTGCCAAAACGCCTGACTAATTTTCTGTATTTTTAGCAGAAATGGGGTTTCACCATGTTAGCCAGCCTGGTCTTGAACTCCTGATCTCAGGTGATCTGCCCACCTTGGCCTCCCAAAGTGCTGGGATTACAGGCATGAGCCACTGCGCCAGACCTATTATTATATTATTATTATTATTACTATTGAGGCAGGGTCTCACTCTGCTGCCCAAGCTAGAGTGCAGTGACACAATCTTGGCTCACTGCAACCTCTGCCTTCCAGGCTACATCAATCTTCCCACCTCAGCCTCCCCAGTAGATCTACAGGCATGTACCACCATGCCCTGCTAATTTTTTTTTTTTTTTTTGAGATGGAGTCTCGCTCTGTTGCCCAGGCTGGAATGTAGTGGCACCATCTTGGCTTACTTCAACCTCTGCCTCACAAGTTCAAGCAATTCTCCCCCCTTAGCCTCCCGAGTAGCTGGGATTACAGGTGTGCACCACCACACCAGGCTAATTTTTGTATTTTTAGTAGAGACGGGGTTTCACCACATTGACCAGGCTGGTCTCAAAATCCTGACCTCAGGTGATCTGCCCGCCTTGGCCGCCCAAAGTGCTGGGATTACATGTGTGAGCCACCGTACCCAGCTAATTTCTGTAATTTTTATAGATGGGGTTTCGCCTTGTTGCCCAGGCTGGTCTTGAACTCCTGGGCTCAAGTGATCCACCTGTCTTGGCCTCCCAAAGTGCTGAGATTATAGGTGTGAGCTACCACGTCCAGCCAGAAGCTATTATTTTTAAATAAATAAATATTTTAAATTTTTACTGTTTAATGTAATAATAATCTATATAGCTCACATAAATAAATGGTCTTGAGATCAAAATGTTTGAGAGCTGCAGTTTTATAAGATGCATCTCACACCCTATGAATATTACTACTGCTATGGGCCGCTTAGTTCCTTGGCACACTCAATGCATACTTCATTTTAAATCTGATTCAATAGATCATTTGCAAAAAAGCATCTTAAACTTATTTTCAGGTATGGAGATTTAATCTGACAGTGAAAAATCAAGGTCTAACTATAAAAGTCTAAGACATAAAGCATGTTTTTCTTCATGACATCAAAATGAAATAATCTTTAAATGTATACAAAAGTTGACTCTGATGTATGAAACAGAAAACCATACTTTATGTGATGTATTTAAAAAACATTAGTCATGTGACACTACACAGGCATTAGATTCTAAGTGAGTGGTGGCAAATAAATGGCTAATCCCAAACGTTAGCCAAAAACAAATCCATAGTTTTTTCAAAGAAAATAGAAAGGAAATAGGGTTTATAGAGAGATAACTTTCTTTTAATTACATTTTAGAGTGTAGAAATGTGAGTAGACAGATTAATATTGACACTATACTAAGCTACGCAATTTTATTCTTTTATTTTTTTAATTAAAAAAGATAGAAGGGCTGGGTGCTGTGGATCACACCTGTAAGCCCAACATATTGGGAGGCTGAGGCGGGTGGATCACGAGGTCAGGAGATTGAGACCATCTTGGCCAACATGGTGAAACCCCGTCTCTACTAAAATACAAAAAAATTAGCTGGGCATAGTGGCACGCAACTATAATCCCAGCTACTCAGAAGGCTGAGGCAGGGGAATCGCTTGAATTCGGAAGGCAGAGGTTGCAGTGATCCACGATCATGCCACTACACTCCAGCCTGGTGACAGAGCAAGACTCCGTTTCCAAAGGAAAAAAAAAAAAAATAGGGGGTCTCATTATGTTGACCATTCTGCTTTTAAACTGTTGGCCTCAAATGATCCTCCCATCTTGGCTTCTCAAAGTGTTGGGATTACAGGCATGATCCATTGTGCCCAGACACAATTTTATTTTTTTTCTTTTTTCGAGATGGAATTTCACTCTTGTCACCCAGGCTGGAGTGATGGCGCAATCTCGGCTCACTGCAACCTCCGTCTCCCGGGTTCAAGCGATTTTCCTGCCTCAGCTCCTGAGTAGCTGGGATTATAGACGCCCGCCACCATGCCTGGCTAATTTTTAAAGTATTTTTAGTAGAGATGGGGTTTTACCATGTTGGTCAGGCTGGTCTTGAACTCCTGACCTCAGGTGAGCCGCCCACTTTGGCCTCCCAAAGTGTTTGGATTACAAGTGTGAGCCACTGTGCCCAGCCCACAATTTAATTCTTAAATGAAAATATATCTTTGATATTGTTGCCAAATTAATATTTGAGTCTATGTTGCCATTACAGAATAAAAACCAAAGACACTTAGATGTTTAGCCATAGCTGTAGTAAAAACAGGTCTCTCCAGCTTTGCATCTAAGTGGCAAAATAATTACACTGATACTTTTAACCTGCCATGTATAATTTTTCAATGTTTTAGTTATTTATTTTTTATTTTAATTTTAAATTTCTAAATTTTTATTGTTTTGAGATGGAGTCTTGCTCTGTCACCAGGATGGAGTGCAGTGGCAGATCTTGGCTCACTTGGTAATCTCCGCCTCTCGGCTTCAAGCAATTCTCTTGCCTCAGCCTCCCGAGTAGCTGGGATTATAGGTGCGTGCCACCATGCCCAACTACTTTTTGTATTTTTGGTAAAGACGGGGTTTCACCATATTGGCCAGGATGGTCTCAATCCCTTTACCTCATGATCTGCCTGCCTCAGCCTCCCAAAGTCCTAGAATTATGGGCGTGAGCCACTGTGCCTGGCCATATTAGCTATTTAAAAACTCTGAGACAGCTAACATTTAAATAAATCCCTGCTGTTTGGGAATGATGTTTGAATAATATTGTGAACACACTTGCTAATTTATACCACATTAAGATTCTAAATAATATGGCTATTTCATATATCTTGATAATTGGTATTTGAAAATAAGTATATTTTTCTGAGCAGCCTTTTGGAAAAAGTGCACTGAATATAGTTTCCAGTCATATGCTACTTTCCTAACTTGTACTTCTCTAACATCTCATCAGGAGAGAGTTTAATAGTACTCGAACCAAAAGTGTAGTGAGTCTGACTTCTCCAGTCCCCAATTTTGGTTTGCATGTCTACTTACAACCATCATTTCTCCACAAATTCTCCACTTAGTCTATCAAAAATCAATGCTCTGAAAGTTCTCTAAAAGGTGCAGCAGTTTTTTGGAGTCTCTGAATGATGACAGCATTCTGTAAATCTGCTTCTTCCAGGGTGAGTGTCTCATCTAGCAACCTGAGGACAGGAAGAGCTGTTGCCAGGAAAAATGGAGGACTTCTTTGAGATCCTTGGTATTTTTCAATGAAGTCTTTGATATGGCTTACCCTGCAAAACAGCAAAAACTATTAACTATTATAGGTAAAACTATAAATAAAAGCAGCAAATTATCAACACAAATTTAGGACAATGGTTATTTATCTCTTCCACAGAAGAAAAGAGACACGACCATAGAAAGACACAAAGTATACTGGTAAGAATCTATGTTTTGAGGTAGGTGGTACATATGTATTTTATTCTTATTCTTATTATTTTTTTTGAGACGGACTCTTGCTCCGTTACCCAGGCTGGAGTGTGGTGGT